GTTTTTATCAGTACCGGGGATGCCAGATATTTGTGCGTTGACCCCAGTTCAAGTAATGGCAGTTGTCACAATGTAATTGCCAGACCAAAACAAAAATATTGTAGTAAATATTTTACACAGTAATTATGAAATTGACAATGAAAGAACAAAAAATTTATAAAATATCTAACTCCATATGAAAAACTTCTAGAAAAATATTTACGATTTAAGTGTCAAAAACAGTTTCTAAATGCAATGAAAAAGATCTAAATTTGGATATAAAAGATCCAAAGTGGTAACACTGGTAGTAACCCATAAGTGCTTCGTTTTTCATCTAACTCAACTCTGACTCCGAAGAAGCTCAGCACAGTGCACATGGTCTGCAGCACCGGTATGGATCCTGAAAAACTTTGGGTAGATTTTTTACTCCAAATTTTACCTAGGCAGCGCCATTAGGCTACTCTTTTCGATTCCCAACTGCCAAGGGATTTTTGTCGTGCTTAATAATGCTCACGGGCGTCCGATCTCACTACCCAGAGACCGGAGGGAATTACTAGAAGTCCAAGTCGACGGGAAAAAAATCCCAGCCCTTACCGGGGATTGAACCCGGAACCTCTAGCACTAGAGGTGGACACCATGTCTCGAGACCATGTAGCTATCACCCACATAGGGTTTCCCAGTTCAAATGCCTTTCAGTGATTAACTTCAAACATGCTGAAAATGAGCAGACATTAGTTGATTATTTATGACTTCTAAAGGAAATGTATATACGTTTGTTTTACGATAATATAAACTCACCAATATTCAGACGCATTAGATTGATAACATGTTTAAACAAATTAACAACGAATAGATGCTACATAAGAATAAGCGCATCAAGTGGACATTCTGACACTCATTCTCATGTCATAAGTAACATAGTTATGTGTCATAGACAGTCAAAAACTATCACACGCGAGAGAACATACTGAGAAAACATGTTATGTTATTTCGACAATTAAGTCAATTAAGTTTAAACATTACTATGGCTACATAATGAAACGAATAAAACAATTTAATTGTAATAAGCCACAATAGAAAGCTGTACATTATAGTCTCTTATAAAGCAAGCACTTTGGGGGATCTCCAAAACAATGTTGTGAAATAATTTGACCTGTCCTCTGATGGTTGGTGGTTCATCTTCAGACTCATCCGGGCTCGTTACTGTGCACGTTTCAAACATCACTTGTGTCGTCACTGAAGCTGCTCAGTCGTAGCTCTCGGTTGGTGGACAGTCGCTGTGCAGGGAGAGCCCGAGAAATATGGGAGAAACCAAATTCAGACCACAGGTCTGTAATCTGTAATCGCGATTTTCCACCAGAAACCAAATACAAGGTTGCTGTACTTACAGACAGCTTATAGAACAGTTTGTACAGACAGCTAACATAACAATTTGTACAGTCAAGTTACAGAACAGCTTGTAACTTATTAAACATGCTTACAGTGAAACCAAATAACAGATTCCTACTCATGCTGTTGTAGAGTTTTTCTGATGATATTATTTCATATTTTTCTTGATCTACCTCGAGCTTTGCGTTCTTCATCTGTTGTAGTGTATGACGTGCGTGGTACGGTGTCACAGTGCATTCTCTCTAAGTGGCTAAATCATTTAATTTGCTGTCATTGTCCTTATAATTGTTTCTTTACCTACTTTTTCTCTTATGTCTTCATTCCTGATTTCACCTCTTCTCGTCACTTCTGCAACTCTTCCTAGACATCTTTTTATATTTAGTAAATTCTCCTCCTTGTTTGTTGTGACTGCAGTTGTAGATTATATTCGTGCATATATATCACTAAGGCTAAAATCATCAGTACGTTGCCATTGTCTTCCTATTTTATCATCACGTTCAATGTGGAAAAATAGCTGATTGTTCAGCACTCGATGAGTGGCATTGGCTGCTAGTATCCTTGTCAATTTACACTGACGTTAGTCATCAATTTGTGACTTTCTTTTGCCATCTTTCTATTCTTGTATCAGTTTTTTCCTTCGATGTAGCGCCTGCAATATTGTTTCATCTAACAAGATGTTCACGGTTTTTGATATTCTGCTTTTCAATGTATGATTTGCACAATACATTGTTCCATCTGTGTGATACCATCGTTATGATTTGCACAATACATTGTTCCATCTGTGTGATACCATCGTTATGATTTGCACAATACATTGTGCCATCTGTGTGATATCATAGTTATCATTTGCACAAGACATTGTTCCATCTGTGTGATATCATAGCTATGATTAGCACAAGACATTGTTCCATCTGTGTGATATTGTCGTTATGATTTGCACAAGCCATTGTTTCATCAATGTGATATCATAGTTATAATTTGCACAAGTTATTGTTTCATCTGTGTAATATCATCGTTTTGATTTGCACAAGACATTGTTCCATCTGTGTGATATCATCGTTTTGATTTGCACAAGACATTGTTTCTTCTTTGTGATATCTTCGTTTCTCCCCGACGGTCATCAGTGCGTATTCAGGACAATCTCCTCCCTTGTTCTAGTGCTGCCCGCAGAGAAACTGTTGCCCCTGTGGTCCTTGAAAATCATCCGAAGCTCTTTACGAAACTTTCTCCCGGAGAGAATGTAGATAAAGAAGTTGGATGCATAGCTGATGTTTGTTACAGCCTGAGAAAGATACAATGAAAGAAGATTATTTTCAATTCGAAGTTAAAACAATGTTTCACATAATTATTTAGGTACCATCTGTGTGTGTGTGTGCATGTGTGTGAGTGTGTATGCTTATGCGTCGACTATATGTTTGTTTGTTTCGGAAATAGCAAAAATATTTTCGTGCTTGCTAATTTCCTTGATGTTGGTGAGCTTGTAAACTATGTGTAAAATTGTGACGTATACACTTACTAAATTTAATTCTAATGCATTTATGTTATTAAAATTTTTTTATGGTTTTTTTTTTTTTTTTTGGCAAATTGAGTGTGTTTCTAATATATTATAAAGATGGCCACTCTTCTCTGAATATTTTAACAGAATTAATCTGAATGTGTGTGTGAGAGTGTGTATAAATGTGTGTATGTGTGTGTGTGTGTGTACTCGCTTGAGCCAGGAATAACAGTATATTAGCAGGTCTGGCATGTAGAATGCAGAAATGAAACGGCATGTATATCGGAATGGCATGTAGGCAAAACAAGCAGCGAAAGACAAAGAAACATTAAACAGTTGCGCAACAAATAACAACATATGTATGAACCCCAAACCCAATGCCAACTGGAAAACTCAATAGGAAAAGAGCATAGGAAAATACAAAGATTTAAATATATGTTTGGTTTGGGTGGGACAAGAACACTGATCTTTTTGTCAGAAATCTGCTAGCGTTTGAAAAATTGTGCCATGGCCGAAATCGTGTTTTTATTATAGGAAAATATGACAATTTATAATTAGGCGATTTGGATGGTCATTTGGAGTGTTTTGGGGGTCAGTTATTAGGTGTATAGGAAAAGCCATAATTAATTACAGTCAAGGGAGGTTGACTTACTGAGTATTGTTGGTTGTGGAGGCTGCGGATATTGATTTTGTTGGTTAATAGTTGCATCGCCTCAGAGATGGTACAATTATCCTTCCGGCAGTCTTTTTGTTCTTTTCTCTACTCATGGAACGCCTGGCGGCCTCAGGGCAGAAAGAGATCTTTGGGAGGGGCCCTTCTGTACTCTTTGTATAAAATTAATTTCAGTGTCTCTGATAATTCTGCAGTCCATGCCCGGTGTAGTCGACCTCTGGACTGTTACCGATGTATCTGTATAACATTGCTTTCTGTGGTACTTTGTCTAGTTGATGTAACAAGATTGGCATCAGGCAGGACACTACGCAGAGCAATGTTATACCGATACAGCGGTAACAGAGCCAGGGTAGTTAATGGCAATGATTGGTTAAAATGAAACACTAGGGATGAAGCGCCGTCCGTGGCTTAGGCGTGGCGAGTCCGACTCGTAATCCAACGTAACGCAATCGAAACCCACTGCTGGCTTAACATGGGTACCAGGATGGCTGTCCTGGGGAAGTAAGGATGGCCGGTGTAATGCTGACCACAGTGCCGATGAGTCTGTAAAAATATGGGACACTCTTCCTATATACCCGATGCGCCAAGGCATGAAAAGAGATTTTTTTTTTTAAACTGTACTGTGGGATGAATGGAACAAACAAAATAGAGAATAGAATAAGATAATTCAACTGATACTTAATTTCAGTAAAGTGCGCCGACACTGCACTAACAATAAACATATGGCCAGTTACATAAAACAGAAATAGTTAAAGGACCTGCTAAGTGGTAAAGACCTGATTACATGATATTCTTTTACCTTACTGATCTTTTATACCTGTTTGTTTTCTCCACTACTGGAATGCCTCGCGGCAGGACGAGATCTCTGGAATGGGGCCTTCTATTCGCTTCGTGTAAAGTTCTTGTCAGTGTCTCTGATATTTATGTGGTCAATCTTCTGCGTGGTCGATCTCTGCCTCAGTTACCGCTGTATCTGTATAACATTACCCTCTGTGGTTCCCTGACTTGTTACAAGACCAAATTATTTGATTTGTTGTCTACCTATGAAGATCAGTACTGGTTCCGTGCCATACTCTCCTATTTGTTTCATCGTTACTTAATCGATCTTTCCTCGTTACACTTAGCACAGTACGTAAACATTTCATTTCTGTTGTGACTATTTTCTTTCTGTCTTATGAAGACAGTGTCCAAGACTGACATTGACAGCATAGCGTTGATAAAAATATTGTGTAACAGTGTTCTTTTAGTGTTCATATTCACACGCTTGCATTTAAAAATGGTGCCATCCGGCCTAAAACTGGACAGTCTTTATTTCATCTTTGCTGGATTTTTTTGTTAATTCTTCCGTCTTCTGAAAAAAAAATACTCGGCAGCTATCTTTTTTTTCGCTTATCCCTTAAAAAAATGAAGTTAGTTCTATTGAAGTTGATTTTTACAATTACTTTACATGTTAGCACTAATTACCTGGAATATATGTATCCAATGCACAGCGTGCATGAACACATGTTTGATCCCGTTCTTGTACTTTTTTACCAAAGCGTGAACCGTTATGGTGAGCACCACCTGGGGCAGGGTTGTCACAACGTAAGTGAAAGATATAGCCATCAACATCCGTGTGGTTCTCCTGCGTCTTCTGGTATTACCTAAAAGAAGAAGTTACAATTTACTTCAGAATTCTTGGCAAAGTTTAGGGTAGTGAGCAAATGACCTGTTTTTCATGTCTATATCGCATCGGGTTTGTAGTACTAGACACATATTTTATAGCATTCGACAGATGGCATAGTTTACACAGATCCTCCCCTGTTAATTTTTTTTTTTTTTTTAACCCAGGGGGAGTGGCTAGACTCTTGGATTCCAGTTCGAAAATCTTAGGGCCAACCCGCATTGTTGCCGTCGTATTATATAAACAACCAATCAGCCTAAAATGGGCTCCTAGAAAGTAAATGCGGTCGGGTCGGAATTATGCTGACCATACTTCTCATGGATGGACCTGATTAATTTATAAAATTACTGGTTTTAAACAATCTGTCAGACGCACTAATGACGTGAGAATGGCTCTTTGCTTCCAGATTGTATTTTTAAACACACAATGAATATTTTAAAATCAATGCCTAAATGTTGAATCAAACTTTACAACTTTATAAATAAATTATGTCTATACTTAACTGGACAGAAAAGGAGATTAATAATGTTTGGGTTAATATGCAAATTTCGTCATGTATGTAAAATTGTAACAAGAGATTTTCACGTTGACTGCAGTGAAGTAAAAATTGCCACAGGTAATGTCACAATGCCTGCAGCAAAGTCAAATTGCCACAAGCCCATTTCAGATAGCAATAAGCTATAAGTAAGTAAATTAAAGTAAAGATCCCTTATTACGCCTAAGGCGCATCGGGTATAAGCAGAGCGGCGACCCATATCTTTACAGACCAATCGGCACTGGATGGGTAATGTGGTGAGCATTACGCCGGCCGTCTTTACTTTCCCAGGACAGCCATCCTGGTACCCATTTTAGGCTGGGTCGACCTGCAACGCCCCATACTACGATAACAATCCACGCAGCCGGCAGTGGGTTTCGATCGCGGTACGTTGGATTATGAGTCGGACTCGCAACGCCTAAGCCACGGACGCCGCCGCAATCAGCTTTGGCAGACTGCAACATTTTGAGACGCATTCATTCATCAGTGACTGACTTACAAGCAATAGGAGGTCAGCAGCAGTCCATTTCGTCACACCCTGTCGACGTTGCATGTCTGCTGGTGACGTTTCTAGACAGATTTTTCCGTCTGGCAAGTTCTCATTCTGAGTAATACGGTTGTCTGGGGTTACCGGTTCAGTCTCATAGGCTGGTCACAATACTAAATAAGAACGGGAATATGGTATGACGAAGACGGTGAGATAACAGCGGTGACAGACTTTTGACATGATGTGTGAAGGTTTCACTTCAAGTTTTAACAGGTCCTGTTGGGGGTCGCAGTGTGTGTAAGTGTGTGTGTATGTATGTGTGCGTGTGCGTGCGTGCGTGAGTGTGTGAGTGGTTGTGTGTGTGTGGAGGCATGGCCATCTGCTTCTGTTTCTTCTTCTCCTTAGCATTCACCGAGGGTAAACTCTGATGGCAAATTCTTGTTGTTTGTCCATTCCGAGACTTTGATCGTGATCTAGAACTTCAGCTTTTGTGTTTACATCCGTCTGACAGATTTTTGTGTACAGACTTTTGCTCCCCTGTCTTTCTGGCCCATGCACTCCGACATTAAAGGAAACACGCCTAATTAGTCGCCTCATATGATATGATTGTTAGGGGGGCAGCGTGTTTGCTCTTTGTTCTCCTAAATGGAGTCCGAAACCGACTCAGAAACTCACCTGCCTCAAGTACTTGATGACGATGATGACGGCTCAGTTGACACGTTTCACAATGTTCAGGAAATGATCTATGAAGAGTAGACAGACAGAAAGAAAGCGGGCCACCCAGCTGCCTATGTGAAAGCCAAAACAGTTCGCCTCTCAGCGGTCGCGTAATTAGACTGCCTTCACACAAATAATTTTTTCATTATCCCCTTTGTTATTAGCTCACCAGACGGAAAGAATAAGAAGAGGCGTCCTAAAATAACAACATGGAGGTAAACGATGGAAAGTTAAATGAGTGGTGCATCTCAGACATGGAAAACTGTACTGAAGAATGTACAGGGCAGAAAAGCAAGGAAATTTCTCTCTGAAGTCTTATATACCCTTATACATAAAGAGAATTGATTGATTTTTTTAGCTGGCTGTTATGCTATTACAGTAAGTAAATACATTCTTTCATGTCACTGGCGTAGTTGGTGTAATATGGTACACTTATACTAATATTCATGTCACGTCTTGGTCAGATATGACTGAGCTACTGTATAACAGTAGCCGATACCACCTGTATTCTGTTACGCCGAATGTTGAGCGACGTATACTAACCCAACATCCCATATTATGCCAACGTCTTTGGGAGGAGGAGCGCATCGGTGAGGATACTAGCCTTATCCTAGGAAGAGGAAATGCAACCTGAAAACTTTGTGTTATGGCAGGGCAGACCAGGTCCTTCGCCTTGGCTGGCAGCTGGTCTAGGAGGGAAGCTTAGACAGGCGGACAGATAGAGTACTGCTCTTCTGATCCGGAAGCTTCTGCCACGGCCAGCTCCAGATTTTTATAAGGCCGTACAGCTCGAACGGGAATTCCCGTTCTTGTGCAAGGATTGAGTCCCTCTGCGTCCACAGTTTTTATCGAGGAGATGTATACGCAAATTAAACTACAGTTTCATTAATTTTCGACATATTTTTTAGTACTATACGTCATTTTTAAGGTAAATAAATGTGCCGAATTTAACAATAAAGGCTCTTACAGACAAACAAAAATGCTTTTGCTACAGTCAACATGAACATAAACATCAATAACGTTTAGATGTAAACTAAAAGTTGTTCCAGCAAAAGTAAAGAAATATCCGTGCTAACTCTTTGATTCTGAGAGGGTATTGTTGCATCAGAGGAGCGGGGGGAGGGGGAGGGGAGGAGTGACATTTGTACTTTATCAAATTTAGCGCATAAAAATACTGCTATGAAATATACACATATCATACATAACATAAATATAAATAATTGATGGTTATTATTATTATTAGTAGACTACTACAACATATAATTATACTGTTATTTAATAATTAATAAACAAGCACAATCAGTATGAAATTGATATGTGCAATACTTTTCTCACCCAGAGTAGTTTTCTTAACAGTACTTATAGCACTACTAAATATGTATCCTCAAGGTACAAACAGCACAAACAAATTTGTCCAGTTTCATCTTGTTGGATGAAATCAATTCCTTACCATTGCGAATTTTTTATATGCATAGGTAGTGGATGAACAACCAGAGGTTTCCGCAAGAGTTTACAGCCAGTGTTCGCGAAGCAAAGCAAAAGCCAGTTTACAAAAATTAACACAGGCCGTACAACTGCAAATATGCGAAAGAAGTCGATGAGCAACCAGAAGTTTCCGCAAGAGTTTACAGCCAGTGTTCGCGAAGCAAAGCAAAGCCAGTTTACAAAAATAAACACAGGCCGTACAACTGCAAATATGCAAAAGAAGTCAATGAGCAACCAGAAGTTTCCGCAAGAGTTTACAGCCAGTGTTCGCGAAGCAAAAGCCAGTTTACAAAAATTAACACAGGCCGCACAACTGCAAACATGCAAAAGAAGTCGATGAGCAACCAGAAGTTTCCGCAAGAGTTTACAGCCAGTGTTCGCGAAGCATAAGTCAAATTGTTAAGGATTAATATTATTAGTGTACTTCTACAACATATAATTATACTTTTAGTCAACAATTAGTAAAGAGGCAAAGAGTGACTTGCTGTGAGAGGTTAGTTAGTAAATTAAATATTATTTTCATCCACTTACCTAGAGCTCCGAAATATCTTGACACAATTTATCCACAGTGTGGTTGCACCATTTATGCACAGTCAATATGAAAGCAATAGTTTTCTTCAAACACAAGATAGTTTGCACCTTACAACTGTCGATATTCTCCAGATATGGCTTCTAAATTACTTGTTTGTATTATCCCTAAAAGTAAGATTTCTACATTTAAAGTAGAAAAGTGATAAACAGACGGTTCCCAAAAATCCGAACTACTGACTAGAAACAGTGACAATGACACACACATCACAACACGACCGTCTTCAGTGAATTAAAATTAAAATTGCTGTATATCCACTTCACAATATCCATTTGTAAATTTGTAATACGAATACGTTTAGAACACAGGACTTTGTAAGCATATTAATATGTCACATAATGCAACATGGAAACGCTCCCAGTAACCTATTTTTGAGGGGGACTCCTCCAAAATGTACCGTGATTCAGTTGTAGGGCCTTATAAAAATCTGGAGCTGGCCGTGGTTTCTGCAACCTGCCTCGTTCCAGACGTACTGATTTTACCTTTCCTTTGGAGTAAACAAGGCAGGTCGAGCGAGGGATCATTATGCATGGGCAACATATGGTTTCTACAATACTGCCCAGGCTTTGTGCTATGGAGAGGAGGAACTTCATCCCTGGCCTTAATCGGTCTCGGTAGCAAATCGAGAGGCAGCAGTTATGGCTTTTTGGTCCTTGTCAGTTGGCGTAAACATGGGGCGCCACGGGTTGTCTCTGACGGTGGAATACATCTGAGAATGTCACTGATCGTACAAGAACAAGGGTGATCGGAGTGACTGCAATAACTACAGGGGAATATCTTAGCTGTGTACTGTTGGAAAAGTGCTAGCGAGAATTGTTCTGCGAAGACTCCAGATCCTGGGGGATCGCGTTTACCCAGAGTCCCAGTGTGGCTTTCGTGGGAACCGATCTACCACTGATATGATATTTTCATTATGACAGTTGCAGGAAAAATGCCGCGAACAAAATCAACCACTGTTTATTGATCTTACCAAGACCTTTTATTTGGTTAGTCGAAAAGCTCTGTTCAACACACTGAAGAAGATTGGGTGTCCACATACTCTACTGAGCATTATTGAGTCGTTCCACAAAGGTATGCAAGGTACAATTAACTTTGATGGTGTAAAATCGGAGAAGTTTTTAATCAAAAAGGGAGTGAAGCAGGGGTGTGTACTTGCTCCTACGCTCTTTGGGATATACTTTTCACTTCTTTTGACACATGCCTTTCGAGATCAGGAGGGTGGTATTTCAATTCATTCTCGATTTGACGGCAGTCTTCACAATGCTCGCAGGCTGAAGGCCAAAAACAGGATAAGAAAGGTACTTATCAGAGAGCTGCTGTTTGCAGACGATGCCGCAATAACCACCCACTCAGAGGAGGAGCTGCAATATTTACTATCTGCCTTTTCTGATGCGTGCTGTTAATTTGGACTAACAGTCAGCAAAAAGAAGACAAAGGTTATGGTGCAAGGTGTCAATGACAGACAGATATTGGTTATTTTCCACCATTCCTTCTCAAAACATGTCTAAAACATATTGACAGTCTAGTCTAATTGTTCTAAAGAGTTTACAACATGTATCTGTCTCGATGAAGACTTCTTCGTTCGTTCCTCACTGGAGGACCGAGAATAAAACCCTATAATAATATTTAAATGGAATAGATTGGTTATTTGTTCTAAAGCTACGATTTTAATATGTTACACTCTCTCTACCGCTGAATTAGTTGTGTGTTTTTTTTTAGTTGTGTGTTTTTTTAATGCTCCCCCCCCCCTACTTTTCTTTTCCTACCCCAATTGCACCTGATGTTGCAACCGCCTTATGGACCGTCCTAGCGAACCAAACTGATCAGGGATGAGTGGGGGTAAAAGCGCCCACATTGGTAAACCAGTTATGTATCTGCAGTGGAACCTCGCTTAACGAGCATAATTCTTTCCAGAATCATACTCGTTAAGCGAAACACTCGTTATAAGAAACAATGTTTCTCATATAAATTATTGTAAAATACTATAATGCGTACCATGTCGAAAAAATACTCACTAAATTTAATGTATAACGTTTTTTCAAAGAAATTAGTATACATATTGTTAAGGAGAGTGAATCATCTTCATCTTTCCTTTCACCGCGGAACGAAGCCACCTGGATTGCGAAATCCATTTGCAGAAAAATAGAAAGTCGAAATAATTATTGATACATACCTAATTTATTTTTTTTACTAGAAAGTTTGTTTTTGCCGACTCTTCAAAATTTTGCGTAAATGCGACACAGCATTATAATTAAATAAATTTGCAACGCACATAGCCACTTCCTTATTAGGGTGATGCTTCTCAATGTAAGATGCAACAGTTTCCATGTTTTCAGCATTTCTCTTGTTTCGCCAGAAAATTTTTGCTTTTCTGAACCTCCTCTTCCTGTGACAAACTTTCCTCCAAAACTTCTTGCTGTGACGCACAATGCGACTCCATAAGATCTTCGGTGGTGAGCTCTTGGCTGAGCTTTTCCACAAACTCTTCGATATCACTGTTATCCACATCAATCCAATGATAGTGGCCAAAGACACAATCTCGTTGACTACATGTTCCACAGGTACTGTCTCGAACCCCTCAGTCACACTCGACAACGCTTTCCGGCCAAAGCTTCTTCAAAGCAGAAGTTAGGGTTCTCTTGGTAACTCCCTTCCCCGCCTTGTCGATCATCCTGAGGCAGGCAACGAAGTGGAAGTGATTTTTTTTTTCAAAAACTCTCTGAGAGTAAGGTTGGTCCCCTCAGTCACCTGAAAACAGCTCGAAGGTTGCTTCAGTGTAGAGCTTCTTAAAGTTAGAAATAACTTGCTGGTCCATGGGCTGGAATAACGGAATGGTGTTGGGAGGCAGAAATTGGATCTTGATGAACTTAAATTCTTCAGGGAAGTCATCTGATAGGCCTGGAGGATTCATGTACATGTATCACAATATAACACAAGTTTGAGAAAATGTGTGATCACACGCGACATTACGATGCTACTGAAACGAGTGCTAAACACAGACTGATGTAACATGCACACAATTAGGGACTTCCCCTCTCCTCGCCACTCGTTAAATTTATAGCCAGTGTTTGCTGCTGCACATTCCCATATTTCTTAATGTTTCGTCACCCCGCTATGGAATTGAAGGCCTGGTGCGATATTGTGAACTGAAGATGTCGTGTGGGATGTGTCTTTTTTAATTTATTTTCCCCTGCTGCGCCCAGCAACGGGTTTATGTTGTGAACTGCATTAAAATGTGTGGATGGCCAGCGGAAATGGCTTGTACAAATGCAGTATTGCGTGTACAATGTCAGCTTTCGTAACTGACCGTTTGTATCAACAGTAGGCTGCAATTCTGTTGAGAGACTGTTAGTGCTGGCACATCAGACGGCTATTGTAGGCATTTACTATCTGTATGCTTCAGGATGTTGCTGGGATTGTTTCACATGTAGGATCAGTGTAGAACATTTTTCATGATTTTCGCTGGGAATTGAGCAGTTAAGTAGCGCTCCGTATGCAGTTGGCAACCTCGGGTATCAACTAGTGACTATCACTAACATAGTTTTGTCTTCTGTGAATTTAAATTCCGTATCTCTAACTTGTTTATTTCTCTGCAAAAATAGCTTTCACATCGCTTAATCATTTCAGTCATTGTGTAGCTATCTAGTATTATTAGGTCTCTAGCCACTAGCTCTTTTAACTTTTGCAAATAGCTGTCTCGTTACTATTCATTTTCTCAAAATCTGATATGAGCGCTCTCACCAGTACTGGCGGTTTTACTCTCTGTATCATCGTCCCTCACAATCGATGCAGACCAATTAGAATCCAAGAGCAGAAATGATCAATGACTATGAGTTCGAAGATAACCGATCAGTTCGTTTTTAGCATGTACAGTTCTATAGCAGTGAGCTCAGCAGATAGAAGCGACAGCAGAGGTAGGATTTGCTCTACGTTTTGACAGCTCTAGGCCATTCATGTCGGCATTTTGCAACAAACTCTTTATTTTTCTATCGTAATGACAAAAGAACTGAGAGCAGTTAAAAGAGTGTCCTGATACTTTTTTCTTAGACCACCAGGAGATCTTTTCACGTGCTGGAATTCACTATTGGAAATTGCAAACCGATTTTCTGGCATGCGGTCTGCGTGACCAGCTAATGAGATCTAATATTTCTTTAGCAGTGTATAGATGCTTGCCAGATTTACCTAATGGAGAACCACTCTGTGTAAGTACAATTACACTCACCTCCAACCCTTGTGGTGTACGAATCTTCATTGTTTGTGGCATTTTCCACACTTAAGATACGAATGAGCACCCCGATGTTGCAGATGAGAATGAGGAGGAGTGGTGCTATGAATAACAACGTAAACTGGTAGGTATATATGTGGAGCAGAACGTAAAGATCTTGGTGCACACGGGATCCCATACACACTTCTCCGTCGTTTTCTACCATGATAAATCTGAAGAGGAAAAAAGCAATGACCCTTTAAAACACAGAATCTACTTTTTCTGGTGCGTTTAAAATATAAATGTATGTATATTTTTCTAATTATTTTTTCTAATTTACATTAAATATTTATGATTTTTTCTTATGATAACCTCAGAGAGGTGTTGCGATGAGGCCTGCGTGTAAGGATATTCGGAGTGCTCTGTGTAATTGTGTCTTCGTGTCTCTAATGTTGTTCATGATACTGACGTTATATACATTTTTTTAAATAACACTTTACTCTATGCTTTTTATTTTACCTTAACATGGCTCTTTGCAGTAGTTGTAACCAGATTATTCTTGTCCGATAGTCTAACTTTTTCAGCTTTTTGCAGGTTTATGAATTGTATTTTAGTTTCACTCTTGGTTAACTTCTAAATTTATTTTTAAATTACATTTCACTTTGTTAGTCTATTCGGTCAGGTTGTCTTTCTGCACAACTTCATGTATGGCTGCCTCTAAGACTGCTTACAGTTCTACCGACCCGTCCATCAAATGTCTCTTTTTATGTTTGGGTCTAGGCCTTTGCCTCTTTGGTTGTTTATCTGTCTGTGTGCTATATCACCACTGTCCTTACAAACTAGAACAAACAACAGCTTCCAAAGCACAAGTAGAAACTCGACAAGTCATACAATGTTTCAGTCATGTCAACAGGCACTTTATGCAGGAGACTGTTATTATCAGCTGGAAATGATTTAAATACGTGCCCTGCTTGGAAAATTATTGCTTCCCCCAAATCTTGACGGCAGAAGTGGTTTTGATGATAATGACGAAGGATTGTAACTGTGTTCTTTGTGGCAGTTACCATTACCCGTTAGTTCTCTCTTTCTCTCTCTCTCTCCCTCTCTCTCTCTCTCTCTCTCTCTCTCTCTCCCTCTCTCTCTCTCTTTCTCTCTCTCTCTCTTTCTCTCTCTCTCTATCACTTTGTCTGTCTCTCTCTCTCTCTTTCTCTCTCTATTTTGTTGTACCCCACCAGGACATCACACATGCGATAAACACCCGTTGACACAAAGTGCCACCATGCGGATAAGTATCTCCCGTGTATAAATCCCAAAATCTTCTTTCAGCCGTTAGGCCATCTTTATGGCCCGGTTATATCCAGGCCCCGAGCAAAACCCAGAGTGGAGCTTCTAATAACGAAAAATTGCGTCCCACATGGGCACGACTTTTTCATGTCCATAACTGTTTGCCTGTCTTATCTGCATTAGTGCTTGTAGCTGTGTGTACAATTACTGAAAAACAATAAATGGTTACAATATAAATGTTATATAAGTTTCATATACTCACATTGTTCTGGTACCTTGAAGTAGCTTTTATAAACGTGTGCACTTAAGTCACATAGCGCTAGGCCATATTTCATAATTAAATCGTCACTTAATTTTTTTTTTTTTTTTTTAGGGTAACCCGGAATTGACATTCGAATCCTTAGATATTAACAATTTTAAATTCTTACATGTTGTGGATTTATCCCAATTCCTGGTAGTGTCTATCTATTCTGCTACCACAACTTAACTTTTATTACTGCTAAAAATAGTATAATAAAGATATAAATTGCATACCTGAAGATCTGGGTGCAAGACAATACGCAGAAGAGAGTGAAAATAATAACGATTGCTCCCCTTTGTTGACACCACATGTTCCGCCGAAAGGGCGTGCAGACTACGCAGAGTCGCTCCATTGCCATAGCAACGATTAGCCATGATGACATCAAGTTGCAAACGGTGTCGAAAAACATAAACACCTGCAGAATTAAATATGGTAATTTCCGTTAAACTAACAGATAACAGGAAACAGATTTCAAGTTATACACATAAACGAGTTGTACTTTTTGTATTTGTTCAAGTGTGTGAGTGTGTATGTGCATGTGTGAGTGTGTGTGTTTGTGTGCGCGCTGGCGTATGTGTGTGTATGTGTGTTGTAATTCTTTAAACACTTTTTTTTTGGTACCTTTTTTTTTTTTTTTTTCTTAAAGTTATCAAGTCTCCTAAAATCCCCAAAAACAAAAACAAAAATGTTGTCATGTTTTTAAAGCTTAAAAATGTTTACAATGTGACTAGCATAGAAAAAGGTGTTGAAAATATTATCAAGTTAACTAACCGTGAGAAGGTTGTAATGACGACATCCGTGAAAGAAGTTGGGAAGCTGATCATGTTGAAAAGATGGTGGTCAGTGGAAAGAATTGTTGACCAGTTGTATGACAAGCGCAAAACCTACAACGCTGTTAGATGTCACATAGTAAAATATTTTAGAGTGACATGTTGTCCATTCGTGAAACAAATTTGCAAGATGACCACCAGGGACAAACTAATGATAAAAAGATATCCCTCATTAAAAAAAAAAAAAAAAATAGTGAACTGGTTTACAATTTGTTGAAAGCTCTGAAAGATGTTCGCTAGTGAAGGCTTTGAAAACAGTGTCCACCTTTAAAAAAGTTGATGTGTTGATAGATCGGCTGAGTAAAATGAAAAAAGATTGGGTTAAAAGTCCAATTCGGCAAACTGCTCTTTGAAAATCGAACTTTTGTTTTTAGAGGGGAGAACCAATCGAGCTGGTTGTTTTTAATTTCATCAAACTCAGCGCCAACAATTATGTCAGTCATTGGTTTTACGTATTTTGTGACCTAGCAAACAAACAATCTGTTGTAACTGATATTTCCCTCGACGATGAACTGACAGTGAAAAGCAAACAGACCAGCGGTGAATTATTTGACAAATGAATCAGTTGTATAAAAAGCAAAAATTAACACTTTACTCGTGTTGAAAAAAAAAAAAAACGACCAGTGGAGGGGCGAACAAGAAGTCTACAAGTTAAAAAACGGTTGACCGACAAGGAAGCAGTTCGTAAGTTGTTATATCTGATCATGATTAAAAGATATCCGTGAGTGAATAAGGTTGACCAAAATGTTGACCGTCCGCGAATAATGTGTAAACGTTAGTGAAAGTTGTGATAAAATGTTCCTTTCGTGCAAACAAGTTAATGAAGATGTCCGACACAAATACAAACTTCAATTGATGTATGATATCTTTGAATTTCCGTCAGTGGAAAATTTGACCATTTTCTCGAAGTAAAAGTTGACGCATTGTCCAATCGTATGAAAATTGACCGACAGTAAAATAGTGTACAGGTTGCTAAATCCGGAACAAAAAAAAAAAAAATATTTAAAGGCATAGAACAAGGGACAAATTGACTGAAACTGCTTGCGACGACCATTAAGCACATTGGTGGTCCCAGTGAAAGTGAATTGCTTACCAATGAACGTCAGTGAAACAACTTGACAAGGTCATTAAATGCATTAAGGTTCACCAAGGACAGTGAACTGGGGGGGGGGGGGGGGCGGGGGGATGAAGGAGAGGGTGCGGTTGGGGATGGGAGGAAGTGGGGATGTACGTCCATGGAAAAATGTAAAGCGTTGCTTTTGCGAAAAATATGTTTGAAGGCGGAAAAAAAAGTTACCAGATGTATTAATGTACAAATTTCAGTTACTTCAACCAGATGCCCTACCCCCTCCCCCTCCTCCTTGTCGTTATCCTTCTCGCCACCACGTTTTACTCCTCCTCAAACTCTTCCTCATCCTCCCCCTCGTCCTCTTTCTTCACCACTTAGTATACAAAACGTCACATCTCTATCGACCTTGACCCTTCACCTAACAAACCAGTAGCTGATGTTTCCCTCAATACATGTGATACCCCCAGTGATACAATTTGACCCTAAGAAACCATTTCCGTTTTTTACTACATAAAAAGTCAAAACACCATACACACTGACCACTTTCACTGATCCCCAAAAAACTATCACGTAATAAGTCGACGCAACGCTATAATGACCAAATTATCAAGCTGACATGACACCATCTTGGTCTCGTCCCTTACCTCGGGGAATAATAATGAAATAATAACTAAACGCCTTCTGATATACTACCACTACTGATGTCAGCGTATGATCTAATACTTTCAGTTCGGAGATCGAAAAATAATAATAAACATGATGGCCTATGCCAAACAACACAGACATCCAAAAAGACCATGTGAGATTATAAATATATATATATATATATATATATATATATATATATATATATATATATATATATATATATATATATATATATATATATATAAATCAATGTTTGTGTGTTTGTTTCAACCCTATAGACTCGGAAACTACTGAACCGATTTAGCTGAAATTTTCAGGATATGTTTGTTGTGATACCAGATTTTGAACTGTCGTGGTTTGAAATTCAACCTGTCACTGTTAGAGATAGGTGACCACAATTTATGCCAAAATATACGCAACTAATATTTATAACTTTAGTGATTTCTAATTATAGCCACGTTAGTAATTGCGCATGCGCCGTATTTACCATTCGCCGGCGAGTTACGTGCAGCCAACGCCTTCTCTAATACAAATACATAGAGTAGGTCGTGGTACAGCAAACAAGACTATCTCTATATTTGCCACAATAACCATATTAAACACGATTTCTATTTTCTGTTTTTTTTTTCAAACAACCTTCGATGGGGGGGGGGGGGGGGGGGGGGGGGGGGGAGCAATCAAGGACTATCTCGACGTCGGCGCAGACAGTGACTGCGACATTAACTTCATTAACCGTGTTAGACACGTGCGATTTCTATTTCATTAATATATCTGGAGTATCTGTCTACGAGAAAACAATTGCCTGCGGTTTTGAATTGTGTTTTAATCGCGACACAGTAGTATGGACTCACATGTCTAATAGTTGAGTTCTCTTTTCGTTGTTCCGATTAAGTGGCTGCTTGGTCGAATGGTTAGAACAACGGGTTCATGTGCGGTAGACTTGGGTTCGAATCCGCAGTCGTTAAACTTTTTTTTTTTGCCCCGGACTAAAATAATATCCTCATCTGCTCTGCCGTGGTGACAGCACTAGCCATGTTGCCTTAATATTTAAAAAAAAAAAACAGCAACAAGTAAATGGGTAAACCATTTGATAATTAAATTTGACCATTTCGCATACTTATGATTGCATTGTTAAACTTTCCGATTGCATGGTTACGCTGAAATTTTATAGATTTTCATTTTTTTTCATTTAGATTTAGTTATTTCATCTGTGTTGGGATTTTAAGCTGTGCTGTTTACAATGACGTTCATTTCCTAATTATGGTGTTTTTTTCCTGTGTTCGTTTGCTTTTCAAGTGTTTTTTTTTTCCTCCCAACTACTTCAATGAGGGAAAGAGTTGTCGGTGAATTTGGGGGGAGGGGGGGGGGGGGCAAACTATTAACTGAGAGAGCTTTAAGTCACAGTAACTGCTTTACCCACTTAAAGTAGCAGCAGCAGTAATAGTTGTTACACCAGGGCTGTTACACCATAGTGCTCTCATGTGAAGACCGCCGGTAAGGTTATTGCGTTCTTATGTCGGCAAGTGAAATTATACATCCTAACCTGACCAGTCTGTGGCGACAGCACTAGCCATGCGGAACCAAATCTTCTGGCTCACGACTCTCTGTCTACTCTGATGGTAACACAGATAGCAGTGACATTATTTTAGTAGTTGTACTGGTACTTGAAGGATGATGTGGTAAATATTACACTAGCCCTATTCACTACCTTTTACAATTCCTGCTCCCTATTTTAGTCCAGATGGACATGGATGTCAATGTCAGTTACAGCAACAACAAAATATCACCAGTTAGTGATTTTCAAATCCTTCGAAGAGGGAGAGAGCAGTAGTCGGTGGAAGAGGGGAGGGGGTAATGACTTAAATTTAAGAGAAATTAAAGAGCTTTACACTTGATTTTCAAGTTCTCATTGCCTAATTTGTTTATATTTTACTAACGCTACCTCCGCTTTTCTATTTTTTACGACTTACTTTGTTATTCACAAGTACAGTTGTAGATTTACTTCCGTCCCCTATAAAAATACAAACAGCTTTAGCATGTGATAACCAAAAAACCATTTTTGTTACTTTCCTAATAACACCATTGAAACGACCACTAATATAAAAACACAATTATAAGGTGCGTGTTCTAAAGTTGGAAAACCAGACTATCGCTATATCCGTGCAGAGAATGATTGCGACATTAACTGTATTAGACACGTGCGATTTCCATTGTCTTTCTTTTCCAAAAACCTTTGATGAGGGAGATAGTAGTAGGTGGATTTAGTTGTGGTGGTGGTCGGGGATCAAAGACTATCTCTATATCTGAGCAGACAATGATTGTATTAGACACGTGCGTTTTCTATTTTCTTTCATTTCCATTTAGCCAAACTATGCCACAGCAACGCGTGGCCGGGTACAGCTAGTATATATATATATATATATATATATATATATATATATATATATATATATATATATATATATATATATATATATATATATTCGCTTTAAACTGGACACTTTTTAAACCATCTAGAGCGTTTTTCAAATCACCTTGGACGATTTTCAAACCACCTAAGACGTTTTTCAAATCAAAGTGGACATTTTTCAAATCAATTCAAATCAATCAGGATTTTTTTCAAATTAAAACAGACGATTTTCAAACCACTGAGGATGTTAATCAAATTGGGCGATTTTCAAACCGCTCAGGAAATTTGTCAAATCAAACCGGACATCTTTCAAACCAAACTGGACAAAATTAAAGAACATTTTTTAATGCCTACATTTGAGGATATGCTGTAACTTTTGAGATATTCTGGAACATACATTACGTAATTTTTTCTGGAATGTTCTTTTGCCATATCTATGAATAGAGAAAAACGTTTTG